ACGGTTAAATTACAATAGAAGTTTATTTAACCATATTTTATTTATTGGCCTCTTATATTCCTGTCCCGTTACGAAGAATCCCATTGAATTTTCAGTAGGATTCTTCGCAACAGAAAGAGTTATTAATACGTCGCTCGGCGCGACCACCCTCTTCCGAGCCATCCAGAAAGGATTCGGACGGAGGTGAATCTTTGCGAAAGTAGAAAAAAATGGCGGCGTCGAAAGAGACCGCGAAAGTATTACTTCTTAAAAGGTTTTTCTTACCTTCGTAACCTTAATCTTATCGATTAAAATCCACTTTTAGCCAACGTAACTGTTACGCGAGGCCGAGCGAACGTCGCTCGGACCTACCCGTTAACTTTCTAAGCCCTTTCGTAACCGTCGCGGGGCGGAGCGTGCCGCGTGCCATGGCCGACGATATAACGGTACGCGGCGTCGGAAAACTTCCACCTTACCGGTCGTGGTCGAAAGGAAAAAAAACGCGGAGCTTCTCCCTTCTTCCAGAATTCGGGCGGATCGGGCCGAAACGACCGGAAGTAGGAAGATCGGGTCGATCTCCGGCGTCGACCTCTTTAATTAATGGCAACCGACAATCTATTAAGACGGGCGGCCCTTCCGGTTTTTTGCCGGGCAGAATGCGCTCTCTCTCTCGCCTGATTGATGACGTCGACGGACCCCGAGAATTAGACGGGCGGCCGCGATTTTTTTTCTGCCCGCCTTCGGATCGGCGTTCCGTGACGGACGCGTCACGAAGGCGATGGAGAAAGATGAGGTGCGAAACGGTTTACGTGATCCGCGCCGCGTCACGATTCGTGTGAAATATGACTATTCATGGGACCGGAGACGTCTTCATTTCTACCGGAACGCCAACATCTGCCGTTCTTTCCACTAATATTTCCGCTCGCGTGACGGTAATTCCGGTGCTGATTGGCCCGCCGCCGCCCGGGCCGCCGGCCGCCTGCAGATCGAAGGCGATTGTCGCCCGCTTCTCTCGCGCGACTCTTTTCTCTCCGTCGCGCCGTCGTTTCTCGCTCTCGAGAAGATTCGAAAACGTTCTCTTTTATCGTCTCTCGACGACTCTTAATACAGATTCGAACGTTCTTTGATCTTTCTCGTCGAAAACGACAGAAAAAATTCTCTGTCGCCGCTGGCGGTATCCACGCGTGCGACGTAGACGATCTCGCCAGAGACGGTTCCTCCTCTAGCTCCTCCTTCCCTCTCTCCGAAGGCCGTCGGCCGGGCACGCGTTAAATTTTCGTATTCCGGTTAAGTATTACTCGGAGGAGATGATATACGACACGCGAACGGGTCGTACCTCTAGTCTGGCCCGGAGTTCCCGATTTCTAGCGTGACGTCTTCTCTAAACGACGATCGGCTAAAGATACGGAAAAAGAAATTCGCACGCAAATTTAGAACGGCCTAAGTCGAGATTCGAATCGAATTCCCAAGAAAAGGGAGGAAAAGTATGCGCGAGTGGCGTAACGCGGTCGATTAATTAGACGCGGCGGCGGAGAGACGTCGGCGCGAGTCTATCTATTTCTATTTGGGCGCGAGTAATCGTCCGGCGGAGGGCGCATCTGGCGCGGCCCATCCATTAGCGGCGGCATCCACGCCGCGAACGGTGCGAAGAGCACTCCGTCAGCGTGATGGATCCCCGCGTCGACGGGCGCAATCAGTGCCTGCCTCCATGCATCATCCTCGACCCCGCTTCATTAATAAAGCGGCCGGGATAATGGCGACAGCTGGACCCCGGCCCGTTTAAATTCCCATCCGGCCATTAAGCTGCGATTTCTAACCGCACGGTGGGACGAACCCTTAAGTGCTATCGACTCGAAAGAAGAGCCGCGCGCTTGTCTAATGGACGCCTTTCTTCTCCGATCACGTGCCTTCGACAAACCAATGGCAAATCAGGCCCGCGGACCTCGTCGTTTAGCGCCGGGCGCATCGCGTCGCAAAGTCGCGGGAGGAGCGAAAGGACGAAATTCGAGTAATTAGCGTGCTGTCCGCCGTCCCCGAGCAATTAGCGTGGCCTACGGTAGAGGAACGTCGAAATGCCACTGCTCTTACGGCTCACGCTTCCCCGGAAAAGTTCTTCCGCCGGAAGGAGAAATGAGTCTCGGGCCAAAGTTGGACTCCGCACGTCGGCCCGCCCGTTCGCCCGGATTCCGAATAGGGCGGGAGGAAGCGTCGGGCGGGAACGGTCGATAACCAAATAATCTTTCCGCCTTCGTTACTCGGCCCATCGATCCCCGGAAAAGGCGTATTTAACGTCTCGTCGGCAATTTACATCGAACGCGCGGGGAGAAGCGAAATTGCTTTCCTTAAAGATACTTAAGAAGACGCGCCGCTTTCCTCCTCTTTCTGCCGTTTATCCTTCGATCGCTACTTTTTTCTTCTTCTTTTTTGCTCCGAAAGCGGAGGCCGACTCCTTCCCCGTCTCCCTCCCTCTCCTTAATTAACGGCCGTCCGTCCCGGGCCTCGGTCCCTCCGCCTCTTTTCTTACTTTCTTTTCGCGCTCCGCCGTGCGCGCCGTCGGTCAGCGCTGAGAGAAGCGAAGGAAAAAAGTGACGAGAAAACACCGTTCCCGAAGTCACCACCAAACGATCGCGTCGGAAAAAAACTACGCGTTGATTCGGAGTCCCGAAACATCCGGAGATCCCAGATAATAATAATTATATAGGCCTACACGAAACGAAAACTCAAAGAAATCAGAAATTACTTGGTCTTTAGGACTGTTACGCATTAATTCGCAGCCCCGAAATACGTCTTTTCGGCCTTACCAGACTATTTTCCCACTCGTTCTATAATTCTCATCGTCATCGATATCTTCGCGTATTCGAAGACGTCTCCACCCCATTCTAAAACACACGAGACTTCTCTTCCAGTTCTCCAGGCTTCGAAAGACGAAGATTCGAAAACACTTTCCTAAAATTGAAAATTCGATTCAATTAGTTGACATTTCTTTCAAGTTAAAGTGTTTTCCATTCGCTAATTATCGCTTTCCTTTACGACGAATTTCGCTTCCTCCCGGATTAAGAAAGCCGTGTTTTGAGCGACGAGTGGTTCCTGTTATAGTAGATGACTATGCGTGAATTAACGTGGAGCGATTAAAAGTCATCGTCCGGTGACGAAGAGAACGTTTTCACTATGAAACATCGAACATTCATTATTTCAAACGTAGTTTTCGACAAAAACTAATTTCTCGCTGGCCATCTCAACCCGAGACTAGTTATCGCTTTCGCGCAATCGTTCGAGCGATTTCTATCGAAGAGGCAACAGGAACGTCGTCTTCCGCACGAGGTGTCTCGAATCTCGCGAACGGCGAGGACCCGGTCGGACGACTCGGCGCGATTAGACTTCGGAACAACGAGGGAAGATTTCCGTCTTCGCGCGCCGAGGAATGTGCCGATACGTGGCAAATTTGTCGAGTTAGGAAAGTCTCCGTTGTCGGGAGAAGCGAATAATCGCCACTGGCTGTCGGAGAAAGGAAGAAATGGCGAAAACTATCGTCTGTTTTACGTTCTCGCTCCAGACACGCCGTTTTCTACAACGTCTTCCCTAAACATACTAGACGGTCGGCGCCGAAAGACGCCAAACCCGGCGCGACGCCGAGCGGCGAGAACGGATGGGCGGCGCGCTAATTGCGGTAAAAATTACCGGGTGTCGTCTTCTCCGCAATTAAGCGTTAATTAGAACCGACGGAAAGGTAATCCACGCGACTTAATTCTCGTCGACGCTCCGACTTTTCGTCGCTTTTTAGCGGGAGCGGGTTGGGCGACCACCGAAAAGCGCAGAAATTAGCGCCTTCGGCGTTAAAGACTCGCCCGATTCTTAAAAATTACCAACGATTTATCCAGTCGTTAACCGCGCGCCCGTGACATTTAACCCGGGCGCCGAACGTTTAGAGGGCCGGTCCCGCGGTGAACGATAAATCAACACGTAGAAACGGGTACAACGCGAATAATTAGTCTCCGGTGCTAGAACCAGGGTTAGTGTGGGAAGGGAACAGGTGGCGGCGGGGAGCGAAGATCGATGATCGTCCATCACCCGAGCGCCGTCCGCGGCATCTATTACCCTCCTCCGTGATGAGGTGCTCGGGTGTCCGACCGTCGCCGCTCGCTTTCCCCTAATTGCGCGTAAACGGGGCACTTACCGTCCTCCCACCCGACCCCATGAGCCCTTTGTCTGTTTCCTTCCGTCTCCGTCCGTCTCGGCGGTTACGTAACTTCCGGATCCGTCGCGTCGGACGGAACGATCCGGAATTAGCCAACCGGGCTTCCCAAGCGTTTAATTAAGAAGAGTCGCGTACCGTCGGCGACGGCGCGCGCGGCGGATTTTCTGTAGGCAACGGAAAGGTTCAGTCCACCAGTCGAGCGATGAGGCAGAGGCTGCGCGCGCGCGCCGCGGCTCGGCGGTGGGCGTGGCCCGAGAACGGGCGCCCGCCCGCCCCCGACGCGGTGGGCGTCGCCGCGGCCAAGTCGGCGCAGCGTCCGCGGCAATTACCGGGCTAAAGTGGCTAAAACGTGTGAAAATCGTTGCGGTGCATCCGTAGATCGATGCAGCGTCCCGTCCGGGCGGCCGTAAAGACCCCGCCGGACCGCATTACCGCGTATTAGCGCCGCGGTCGCCTCGCCGTCGACCGGAAAAGGTGAGTCCTCCCGGCAACAGGTAGGCGCCTCCCGCCGACGACGCTTAACGCTACTTTAAGACCGGCTCCGCCTCGTCTCGCGCCCCTTTCCTCCGCCGGAAATCGCCGGACGAAACTTCTCTTTTCGGGTCCGAACCCGCGCCTTCACTGCCGGTAAATTTCGTACCGTCTCCGATGTCCGATTGCCGATTCGAACCGCCGCGCCGTGCTGGTTTTAAGTTTCCGTAGTTCCGGTAGCCCGACGGGGAAAGAACTTCCGGTTAAACGATCGGCGTAGAAGGAGGACCGTGACGCGGGAACTTCAGCATGTCTCATCCGTCCTTTAATCTTTTACAGAAATGAAAATCGGCCGTCGAGCAGAAAATCCAGAGCATCGGACGAACCGAGTGGAGATTGCGTACCTTTAATCATCCAGGCCGTTGCCGTCTTTACGTGAGATGATCTACGCGCGTGACGAGAGGCGTCGAACGTTCTTCGGTGGGAGACATGAACTCTGAGGTAGAGGGAAGAACTGTCTTCCGTCGTCTGGCATCCACCGGACGCGAGATAAACGCTTCCGAGTCCGGCAACAAGTTCTCCATCGACAGCATCCTGGGCCGAGGAGATCGTTCGGAGGAAGAGTGCGACGAGAGGATCTCCGCGCCGCAGAGACCGCAGACGGCCATCCACGGCTGCGTTAGACCCACGCCAGTGGCCCTGCATCCCAATCCCGGTCTGTCGCAGACGGTTTACTCGCAACCCGGAGCTCTGATAGTGGCCGCCGGCCGCACCGAACTGTCGCCCGAGGACCACTCTCACTTGACGTCGCTGGCCCTGGGCTACCTGTCGCCGGCGCTGGGAGTCGGCGCCGCCGCCCACCCCCCGCCCGGAGACGGCGGAGGACACCACCCGACGGTCAACGGCTCCTTCTCCGGTTCCGCCGCGGGATTCAACGCCTGGCTGAGTCGCTCGCCCTTTCTGGCCCTGTCAGGTAAGGCCGTCCGGGACCGGGGGTGGGCTCCGTCCACGCGCTATCACCTCGGCGTCTTCCCACCGTCGACTAGGCGCCTGCTAACGAGAGGCATTACGTTCCGCGAAGTTACGTGGTAAAACGACGCCGGAAAATGACGGGTTTTGCGGAAATCGCCGCGGAAACGAGAGGAAACGAAAAGACGGTTAGCGCCAAACCTAGCATTAAATTCGAATTACGTTTCCGGGTCGAAGTTGAGATTGAAGTTACGACCGCCGACTCGTTCGAATTTTAGATTAACCCGGCGGTCGAACGCCCCTTTCTCGTTCTTTTACGTTGGTCGTCCGGACTGTCCCCGCTCTCCGACTTCCGGTCGTCCACCCGCTCCTTCCCCGCCGAATTATCCGATACTCGCGCTTTTTTCTCTTTCGCGTGACGACCGCGACCACGGCGCGGGTTACGCCCCGTAAGGGGTACGAAGCGGGGACGGTCGGGGGTATTTACCGGTCCGCGATCGTTTTAAAGCGATTAAGAAAGCGGCGAGTGTCGTGACCGGGATAGACGTATCTTTCGTTACCGGAACGGGAGCGGATCCTCCGGGAGAAGCGAATCAATCGTTACTCTACCGTGGGTCGTCGCGTGACGGTGGGTGAAAGTTTTCGTTCCCCGAGTCGACGTCGATACTTCATCTCCTTTATATCGTCGGTTTGATGGATTGAAAGTACCGAGATTCCCGGCGAGCCGAGATGTCTGGCCAGACGCGTTAGATCTCTCGCCATAAAGGAATTTAGCAACACGTTCCGCTGCCTTTTTTTCCCTCTCCTTTTTCTTCTTACCGATTCTCGCGCCTTTTTTTCTTCTCCTCTTTACTCTCGGATATCGAGCCCACTAAATGTTATTTCGCAACAACCTAAACGTTTCGTTCTTTCGCTTCTCTTCCGATTTTTCTTTTCGTTTCTCTCGTTTTTTCGCTGTGTAATCTTTTCTTTCGTCCACGTTTCCGGTTTCCACCGCCACGCGTGCGCCAGGAAACTCCTCTTTCTCTCTTAGATTTCGCCCTTTTTCCTCGTCCACGAGCCCGAAACGGGAATTAAACCACGGACTCGATTAATGTTTCATTGCAGCTCCTAAGCCGGCCGGAAGGAGGCCCCGAAAACCCGGAGTGGAGAGGAAACCCCGACAGGCCTACAGCGCCAAACAGTTAGAACGGTTGGAAGCCGAATTTAAGGTAAGATTCGTCGTTTCGTCGACTCGTAAACTTCGGAAGGACCCCTTAATTCGATTGTCTGAGGCTCGGCGGCTATCGTTTAACGGTTTGTAGACGATTACTCGAAAAACCCCACCATCGTAACGTTACTTCGCTTAGCCATGAAATTCCAGTTTGGTAGGAAACTCTATTCCTCCCTCATCTATTTGATTCTATTCTAAATATTTCCTTACGCGATATCTAACGTGAGAGACGTTGGATAAGAGTCTAGCGAAGAAAAAAACTCTTCTTTCGGTCGACGTTTAGCCAATTCCTCTTATCATCGTGTCTTATCTTATTTCGGTGGAGAAGAATTCGGATAAGAGTCCGAATTCTTCGCACGCGAAATACTTTTATTTACGCAAACTCGATCGATGAAAAATAAATCTAAAGTTATTTCTATTGTCCGACGAATCGAAGAAATTTACTGTCTGAATCTCATTTTTAAACCTCAGTCGAAATCGTCCTCGGCCTTCCGAGAAGAATTATTTTCCGGTTATTCTTCTTAACAAACGGTACTTTTTACCCGATTTTTAAACCCTAAATGTCATTGAGATTAAGGTAAATAAGTGTCGTGTTACGCGACGTTACCGTCAAGTTGAGGAACGATCGTAACGGTCGGATTGTCTCTCCGCGGAGAACGGACGAACGACGCGACGGAAGAATAGAAGGAGTTACTAGGAGAATAATGGATTCTGTTTTTATCGCAGATAGACAAATACCTGAGCGTCAGTAAGCGGATGGAGTTGTCTTCCGCCCTCAATCTGACCGAAGTCCAGATCAAAACCTGGTTTCAGAATCGAAGGTAAGTTCGTTTCTTTTATTATCCGCCTCGACTTTTACGCGTCTTTTCCGGAACTTTCTTGGATTGACGAACTAACCGAATTTATAAATATAAACGGGGACTCGGCAAAGGAAGTGAGGAGACTAATCGGAAATCTTTTCGTGGTTACACACCAAAAGCCAAACTAATAGAAACGAAATTGTGAAACGTCTCTCCACCAAACGAAAACATTAGAAAAGAATGCTGTTTTCGAGTGTTTTTGGATAAATCGGGTGGCCCGATATTTTGTCTACCGATGCCAAATCCTTCTTACGCCTCCGATTGCATTGGCTTCTAGTATTACGTGAAGATCGGGATTTCCTAAAGAAGTTTCCGAGAATCCGCCTCCCTCCTTTGTCTCTCGATGTTCTTCATTTGTACGAATATTATCGCAGTCTTTGATTTTCGTTCTAGCGGATAACCCAGGAACGGATACTTTCCATCTTCGTTTGTCGCGTACCGACGTTCGAAAATATCCTTTTGGCGGGATCGGACTCTCCTTTTACGTGTCTCTGGTTTTTCTAACGGATTATCCTTCGCTCCATTCCGAATTCGTTGGCGTTTTATAGAAGGAAGATGGCTTCGGGTATCGTCTATTATCGGAAATTGGCGGTATTTCTATTACCTTTATCATTGCTAATTTCCCGAAATCCTTTAAATTTAGCTCGACCTTATCCTAGCGTACGCGTTCCGGCGTCGACGCCCGCATCCGATTAACGAGGACGTACAGTACAGTACAGTACGTTTTTTGTCTTCCGAGCAGGACCAAGTGGAAGAAGCAGATGACGGCCAGAATGAAGATCGCGCAGAGACAGGGACTGTGGCCCGCTCACTACCTGGCGTCGCCCCACGCCTTTTCGCCCTTCGTCGGCGCCCCCTACTACAACGGCGCCTTAGGACATATGACTCTGGCCGGAAGGGAGGCGGTCGGCCCAGCCGGAGCGGCCGATTGCCAATCCCCCGACCGCAACGACAAACAGGACTGCAAGTAGTCGCTTCTCTCTTTGTCCGTGTCGTCCAGTCGCAGCGTGTGTCCAATAAAGTTCTCCCTTTTCCTTTTCTCGTCGTCGCTCCTTGGCGCGGCGAAGGCGGAGAGAGGAACTCGCTCCGCGCGACGCGAACAGGAGAGCCTCGCGAAGACCACGGCCTTCGTCCAACAAACCGGGTGAGGAGTCGGAAGAAGATTAAGACGAGTCCACGGAATAACCGACAAAGGATAATTCGCTAACGCTAAGTTAAATCGAAGCTAACGGCAAAGCTTTATTAACGTCGGGTGAGGAAACGAATTATTGCGGATCTCTGTGTTCGAGCTCCGATCCGGCGCGACGGATAAACGATTCGCGAGAACTTTTTCTCGTCTGAAAGGAAAAATCGGCGGCGACGATCGTCGCTTTCGTCAAACGATAGTTTTAGCCACGGAAACGAGAGTACCTGATCGGAACCGGAAGATGCCACCCTCCACCTGGAAAACGGTTTTTTAATCGATTCCGGGAGACCGCGAGTGGTCCTCCGATGGATTCCTTCGAATTGAGGAGAAGCGCTTTCCGTTCTCCGCGTCAAACGCAAACGCAAACGGTACGTGTTGGTTATTCGACAAAAAATCCCGCGAGTCGAGTACACTTCCTTTTTTTTAAGACAGTCTCAGAGCTTACGGCAATAATTTCTATAAGATTTCGAAAGAAAAGCCACTATTTTGGTGTTAGGAACCGTTTCTTGCCTAAAATTTCCTTCGGATTATTCCCGGAAACGGAAAATTCGTCGACCTAAAACTTTTCGGATCGTCTCCTCCCTTACAGCCGAGTCTACATTTACTCGGTTGCGACAATATTACGCGACTAAACGAGAGAAGAAACGCAGTTATTCGCGACATTATTTTATCTCGTTCGTCTCGTATATAAGAAACCAGAACAAAGATAACGAGAGAGTCTTATTATTAAGTCAGAAACATCGGTAGAGAGACGAAGACGAATATACCGGGAAAACCGAACTGTCGACGAAAAGTATATTAAATCGTAAGCTTTTATTCAAGCGACGAATATTTATCTTATTTGAGGTCGCACCTTCGAACTCGATACTTCTGTCGACTCCACCGGCGACGTAATACCGGAGAGATTGGAAGGCGAAACGCGAATCGCATAGAAAGAACGAGAACTCTGGAAAATCGTCGAGGTCGGGACCGAATTCGAATCCGAATCCATTCGCGATGTTACTAAGTAGAGAAACCGAGCACAGTTACGTACAGTAAAGTACAGTTCATACATTCCTTTTCGTTACATTTGCGGCTTCCTCCCGTAATGTTTCCAATTTCCGAATTTTCTAATTAACATCGAGGAGACGTTTAACATTTCATCTATTACAGTTTTTCCGTCGTACGAAGACGATACTTGGGATTTTTCTGATGCTTGGACTATGGGGGTCTCGAGGATCTTCGGCTCTCCTCTAAAATTCTTCCTCTGTTTTTTCTTGTCTTCTTATTTCGAAATCCATCTTTTCTTCGCCAAAATAAAAATTATTATTGTAGTACAAATGCTACGAAATCGAGCGTATTTCCGGATTCTCAGAAAAGATAGAAGAAATTTTATGTGAGCTTTCGTACATGTACAGTACTGTACAGCAGAAAATATGAGCATAGACGATTCGAAAATTAGATTGATCTACCAATTTAGAATTACGTTATTTTCAAATATATAATAAGAATCTTTGTAAGATCGAAACTATCAATTTTTCCGTGAAGGGTTTAACAGAAACATACAATAGGCGGGGTTTGATATTTACCCGATATAGTCGATATATCTGGCCCATTCTTCATTAGATTTTAGTTATTAAAAATGTCTAAATGTCATTGGCCGCTTCGGAGAAGAATTTCTTCGAAATACGGCGAATAATAGTAATTTTTTAGGCTTCTTTCTCTTCTTGGCTATTCGTGATTGCGCCGAATTAAAAATCATCGAACGTCGGACCTAAATTTCGAAAGATTCTATTGATTGTATTTTTCTTTCTAAATGATATCGGAAAACAGACCTAAATCGATATAAACGTTTATAAAGGGAAATTCAATCCGAGAGTCGAAAGAGATTTGTATGGCTATTGTCGTCGCCACCCAAAGGTCTATCGAAAAAGGATGGAAGAAATATTATCGCAAACACTTTTATACAATAGTAATTCCGGAACAAAGAGAGGAAGAAATACGACTAGAAAGGAAGAAGTTGGGAAAACTCAACCGTTTAAATCGTACGAAAAGACGATATTCTTCATGATCCTTAACGGCTACTCCGACAGAATGCGGAATGCTCGAAATAACGAAATGCTCGGAAAAAAATAAAAAATAGATTTTAACAGGCATTTTTTTAAAGTAAAGGAAACACCCACCATTACCTTTGTCCGTGATGCGAAAAAAGAAGCATAAACTATAGTTCTAAAAGCTTCTATCAAAGGATCATTACGTCTTCTTTTTTTCGTATTTTTATAAACTATTCTGTCTTACCGCTCGTAGACTTTCGAATGGAATCGTACGATATCTTTTTTGTTTCTAATACTAACTACAAAATTACGGAAAAGATTAAAAACGTCGTCCGAAGTATAAAAAAGAATCGACTCTTTCTCAATCCGTCCGACATATTTTATGATAAATACATTTAAGTAGGGTATAGACAGTTGTAAGGAACAAGTGTTTGTCGACTGTTTTATCGAATTTGAGAACTTTTATCCCTATACGTTTTCTCGCTCTTTTACCAATTTAACGCGTAGTTTACGTTGCAAATTGTCATTTTAAATTCGAAAAATAAATCAGATCGGAAGAACAGAAAGGGAATTAATAATTAGAAAGTTATAGTTTATATAAAACGTGTTGCTACATCTGTATAAATTCCTTTGTCTGATTAATTTCTATTCTGGTTTAGATATTTTTCCGAATAAATTGGCTGCAATCGGCTATTGTCTGTTTACGGAATATTATTAAATGTAGAAAGAAAAAAGAGCGTATAAATAGTTTGTTCGATTTTTCTTAATTTCCATCCGGCGCGTATTTTAATTTTACAAAAACAAACAAAGATTATAATTTATTCGCTGTTTTTCGCGTCGAATCTTTCGCAAATGATTCCGACCATTAACGCGCTAATCTTCGAGCAATTCAAATTACCGTAGGTCGTCGCCATTGATTTTAATTATTCGCCGGAGGATAAAAAGTAAACAAACTGCAAAAATTGTTACGTACGCCGTCTAAAAGTATTTATTAATTACAATTTTATTAAAAGAAAAACCCAACGACCAACTAAACTGTAAATAAAATTGTTCGAATAGTTCGATCGAAAGAATCCCTCTGTTTCTAAACGATCGATTCTTCTTCATCGGCCGTGTTTCTCGCGACCGGTCGATCGCGAACTCCTAACGCTCGTGCAGCATCTTCCAATTCGTTATAACGACATCGAAACGACGATAGAGAAAAGATCGGAAATCTTTATAATAATAAAGACGCGTCGTTAAGAATGTAGAATTAAACGGCCGTGCGAAATTTTTACAAATTCGTTAGATTAGCGGTAAACACGAAAGGTGGGAACATCTGACGTCGATCGATGATGTCATCGATTCCGTTGACTATTCATTGTAATTGACGATTATTCTAAATCGATAACTTAATTGTTCGCTTTCGACCATTCGATAATTACCGAATCATTTCCAGTCAAAGAGGCGAGAGAGACTATTATTTATCGGTTATTCTAAAACCAGATAACGTAACGATAACGATTCTTTCCGTTTTTCTTAATGATATAACGAAGAATACCCAACGTTATGTAATATTATTCTAAATGACATCGTTTAAATAATTCATCAAATCGATTACTTTAATGCTATTTTGCCTTCTTTTCCATTCTTAAGAATCGTCCTTTCCACTATTTTTAAATGCATTAACATATAATGTTCTTAACGCTAGCTTCTAATATCTTATATGGATATAATAAACATTATTTTTTACACAAGTATAAACGTTACTTTATTAAATTCTAAACATTTATACCTTCGAATGATTAGACTATTTTTTTTTTTTTTAATCGTACTTACCATTGAACTTCTTACCTTCTCTTAATACTCGTTTTTTCTATATTCAAATTTTTATTACTTTTTCCACTATTTAATTACTTAGAGTCATTAACATTGTAAACTTTTCTTATCTTAATTTCCTTTTAACAATTTATTTTCTCCGAATTTTCAATCTTTACCAGAGTTCGAGTATTAAAACGTGTTTATAATTATACTGAAAAATGTAATAAACATCCTTTTTTCCCCTCTTTAATGTCTTCTTTTGTGTAGTTTTTGATCATCAGAATGCTTTAGATGTTTAACCTTTTATTTATGAATTATTTATTCTTTAAATAAATAGAAAGAAAGAACACAAACGTGGCATGTTAAGAAGCGGGAAGAGGATCCGAAATAACAAAATATCACCGGTTTTTATTAGTTCGTAAGTTTGTCTATACGGAAAAAAAAGTAAAAACTAAATCTAAACTCAAAAGAAATTAAATGCGGAACAGAAATATTATTTACTGTCGATAAATCTTAATAAAATGTCTCTGAATATAAATCATTTGTAGAAGAAATTGCATAAGCTCTGTCTGTTACAATGACAATTACTTTTAAGATAAGACTTTTATAATACTCGGCCATTTTTCGAACGTTCATAATACATAAAACACCGTAAGATTTTGTAATAATTTACTATATAAAAGTAAAATTCAATACGACATTAAACGTTTCGGAAATTTTTATTTATTTATTTATATTTAGTTACTAGTAAATCATATAAAAATATAAAAATCAATTTTCGTTGACCGCGAGCTTTTTCCATTCACATAACCTTTCGGATTGTATTGTTTTCCCCCGTTTTAGTTGAAGATTTTGATTCAAATCTGCACGGTTTACTTTACTAATAGGTCATTACTTAATCCCGCCTCTCATTAATTCTGACTAACGCCTACTTCTCTCCATTAATTCTGCA